CTTAAAATATTATATAGGTATAAAGAGGTAGTACTGCTATTAAGGAATTTAAGTCTCAGAGGTTTTGAATTGAGTAATAAATTTGTGGATTAAGTGTGTACACAATGGAGGATAGGGTCTAATAGTCAACTACGGGTTTATCTGAGGATGTGCAGGACAATTGTCACATAAAGAAGAACGAAAGAGAGGAAAAGGTGAAAAGGATAAGAAAGGAAGAAAAACAGATCAGAAGTTCAGTAGAGGTAAACTAAAAACAAAAAGATAATTAAACAAAAAGAGAAAGAAAACAAAAAAAGAAAGAAAAACGCACACACACATGTGTCCCTAAAATAAAAATTATAAGAGAAAAAAAACTTACTGGAAAACAATTTTTTTCAAAAAAGGTAAAAATTAAAGATTAAAAAAGTTTTAGAAAATAAATAAAAATTTTTATATATGGTACCAAAAAAAAAAAAGAAGAAGGCGAAGAAAAAAAGTTCTTTGATTTTTTTGGGGGGAGGGGTGGGAAAAATCCTGTATCTCCCTTGTGTCTGTAACCAGCCTCTTGTTGGATTCTCTGGTCTGCTTGTGGTCCTGTGGCTTGGTTGGTTTCTTAAGTCAGTTTGTTCGAACAGGTAGAAAAATGCTCTGCTTTACCCAGGATTTTGCAATCCTCCTTCTAGGCTTGTTCAATGGGAGGCAGATCTGCTTTGAGTATCACAAAAGAGGAAGATGCTGTGATGAGGCTAGATTCAGGGTAGAGTTGAGGCCTTTCAACAAACAGTAGCTTTTCCTGGGGCTAGCTTGTGAGAAACTCACAGAGCCCAGCCTGGAGCCATTCTCATGGTTTTTGTTTACTGAATTTCAATTGATTGTCCAGGCTGCTAAAGGGAGGGGCATCCTCTGGCTCTGATTACCCAGTGAAGAAAGCCACTTCTAGGGCTGGCGTCCAAGCTGGGTGAGTTTTCCCTGGGTGGAGCTGAGTCTGGCAGGTCACGCTGTTAAGTTCTTGTGACCTGCTAAACGACTCATTTTATTCCAAGGCCTGAGTTGGAGCTAGCAGCTCCTCCAAGCTTTGTCAGTATTCAAGATGGAGATCTCCAGTACTGGGGGGGGAGGGGTGGCCTTCCCTCCTCTGCTCCCTGAGAAGGAGTGAGTACGTCAGCCTTCTACTCAATGCCGAGTCTTGGTTCCTATGTCGTCTCTGGTCTGCGAACTGCAGGATGAAGATGTCTGCTCCTTGTCGGTTCTTGCTGGTGTTGAGTAGAATCCGCTCGCCCACTGCATCTGGCTCCTTCGTCCTGGACTCTCTGTGATTCAGGTATGGCCTCCATGGCCGCCGCCACCTCCTCTGCAGCGGCAGCGGCGGCTGCTGGCAAGAGCTCAGAGCTGTCTCCTTGCCTGGATTTTCCCTCTCTGGCCTAACTCTCTGCCCTGTGATGGCACACTTGCTGTGATTCTCTGGCTTAGGACTGTTCACTGGAACTCTAAAACTGCTTTCTATGTGAGAGCTTGTTTAGTCTCCAGCTTCTCCTCCGCCATCTTCCCGGAACTCTTTCTTTCTTTATTTCTGTCTTTCCTACAGTGCTTGAACTCTGGTCCTGGGTATTTTTCCAGAGTATTCATGCTCAAAACTACCACTCTACCACTTGAGCCACAGCTCAAATTCCAGCTTATTGAGTGCTGAATTGTGGAAGGGATTTGTATTGAGTTTCCTGCCCATTATTGCATCAAAGCTCTATCCTCAAATCTCAACTTCCTGAGTACCTTGGATTGCAGGTGTAATATATAATTACCTAGCCTTATGTGCTGCATTCTTGACAGGTCATACCACTCTGGCTCTCTGCTACTCATTCAAGAAATAATGGAAAATATAGAATCAGCCCCAACCACTTCAATTTAACAAGAGGGTCTAATCCAAACCTCAACCTACTCCTTACACTCCTTACACAAACTTCCTGAGTATTTGATCTGTGTCAAAAACAATGCTCCTCCACTGATATGAGAGGGTCTGGGAAGATCAGCTGGAGGAGGGAGAAGGGAAATGAAATGGAGATGGTAAACTACTTCTGAATCAATTATTTTGAGTAATTGCTAGTCAACGTAGTGCCAGTGTCAGATATGGAGTGATCATAACAAAGCCCCTTGTATTATTAGTTATGCTAAATGGAAAGTAAAATTTAACTAGAAAGAGCAGCAATGGGCACTCAGTAATGAAAGGCTGTGTTAGACCCACAATTCCACATCATTTCAAAGAGCAACAACTGGTCCTTGATATTTTGTTTCTTTTTTTTGTGTTTTTTTAAAAATATAAAACATGTGACCGAGGAGAGGGGAACAGGGGTATTCTCAAGATGAAGCCTATAATAGATTAGAAAATACAATCAGATTTATAATGGAGGGGCAGTGAGTTGTTTCTTCTAAGGGGAAGTATGGTTTATGGTAGCCATGGAATTCTGCATGAAGGTGCATGTGTGTTCCTGCCATGTTTCTATAGATCACTCCACTGGTTTGGATGGACTGAAAGTTAGGAAGGGAGATGAGGAATTTCTCTATAAGTCACAGACTCACCTGTCGCATTAGAAATTTCATTCTCTGGGCAAAGAATGCAGTCAAAGCAACAGGTAGCATTTCCTTCCAGAGAGGCCTTCCTGAATCCAGGACCACAGCTCTCAGTGCAGACAGACTGAGGAGTCTGAGAACAGTCAGATGAAGGTTAGTGACTCTTCATCCTTTGACCTGACATCCCAGACACTCCAGTGCTTTCAGGGAAAAGATTATCAAAACACACAATGTTTATATACACAGAGCCAATTGTTGATTGAGCCTTCTTAGAGTTTCATCTAACATGACCTGAAGAACATCTGGGGCCTTGACACCCAGGCTCTCATGCTATCGGGAAGTCATAGAGCCTTTAAGAGCTGGATGTTAATTCTAGGAAATTAGGAAATGAAAGTTAATCCTGCATCCCATTCTTGAATTCAGGTGATGATGTGTTTTCTCTCTTATTCATCTGTGAGCAGATGAACAAGAGTACGAGAGGAAAAATCACTCAGCGAAATCAAACCCACACTCTAAAGCATGGCTAATTGCTTTAGAGGTGCTGCTGTACCCAGGGCCATTCACATCACTCTTGGCATCCCAGTTGCCATGAGGTGGGTGAACTTCACTGGCAGATGCTCCTTTCATTACATCCTGTCTCAACACAGACTCAAAAGCAGCATCTACCCAACCATTGTCTGAAATCTCCAGGCAGAAGCAAAGCAAGCCCTTCTGCCTTCTCATTTGATTCCTTCAGATATTTGGTCGCAGTGCTGGAATGATGATTCACAGCTGTCATTCACCTTATATGATATTCATTATGCAAACATAGAACAACATATTGTAATGAAATGTTCCCCTATTCCCTTCATGAATCTGTTAGTAAGTAATTTCCAGAAACAGGACCTTATGAAATATACACCACTGAGCATGAGTCTCACTTTTATTGAACATGGTCAAAAACAGGATAAACTTATTGCATATTTATGCATAGATCATGACATTATGCTTAGAAATGACCAACCTTGGGGCTGGGAAGGTGGCTCAGTGTTACAGCGCTTGCCTTGCATGCATGAGGCCCTGGGTTCGATTCCTCAGCACCACATAAGCAAAAAGAAAAAAGCCAGAAGTGGCGCTGTGGCTCAAGAGGTAGAATGCTAGCCTTGAGCTGAAGAGCTGAGGAACAGTGCCCAGGCCTAGAGTTCAGGCCCCACGACTGGACCACCCCCCCAAAAAAATAAAAAAAAAGAAATGACCAACCTTGGGGGAGAAATAAGGATGTGGTGACATTGTCTACAAGCATTGTACTCATAACTTCACTTAGGGAATTGTAAGCTCTTTCTGCAACTACTTCCTAATAACAATACTGTTTTTTAAAAAAAAAGGAGAGAGGGAAAAAAGTAGAAATGACCTACCTTGGTAATTCCTATGGGCCACTCTATCAGATATTCAAACAAAATCAGTTGTTGACCATGTGGCCTAAATGGAGAAAACTCGCCAACTTTCACCCTTTGTCCCAGACCTTCTGGAAAATTCCAAAAGCTCTTAATGTCATACTCTGCTTCTAATTTCCTTTCCTCATTCAAAACCACTTGATCTCCAACAGGATTGGTAAACTGGATCTTCTTCAAAAAGGGATGCAGCTAAAAGGGACACATTACAGTATGTTGAAGTGCTTCCCAGAGTTATCACAGAACCCCAGATCAATGGATTACTCCTCATTCCCACGATCTGATTCATGCACATCACAGGAATCCAACCAACTCTATCTAATGCAGGCCCACAGTGGACTAACTTGTTAAGAAGTTTCTAAAGCCTGGTTATACAAGATGGGATGCAGAAACTCAATTTCAAGGGAATGAAACTCCAGCCACATCCAACCAAATAATGAATTACAATATGACATATCTCAACTGCCTCTCTGAAGTGCATTATTTTATGATTGTAATCAGTCAGTCTGAAATAAAGGTAAATATTAAGCTAAGTAGAATCATAGAAAGTTTATAACAGCTATGAAAGATTACCTTAAGCAAGACTTAGTTCAGTGTGTATGTGTGTGTGTGTGTGTGTGTGTGTGTGTGTGTGTGTGTGTGTCCTGTCCTGTGGCTCCACCTCAGGGCCTAGACACTCAACTTGAGGTGATTTTTTTCCTTTTCAAAGTAAGCATTCAATCAATTGAACTACAGCTCCACCTGTGGCTGTTTGGTAGTTAATTGTAGTCAGGAGAGAGCCACAAGTGTGAACCACTTGTGTCCAGACAATCTTAGGTATTCAAGAACTAGTTAACCTTGATCTGTTATTTTAAAAAGGTAAAAGGACAATGTGGATATATGCTATTGAAATGGGGATGGTTTTTCCCCACAGAATGAGGATGGGAACAGAAGACACAGCACTTCATTGTCATGGATGCAGTGATCTTCAAGAGCTTGTTTTCATAGCTCTACAATCATTTCATGGAGAGCACGACAGGCCCACTGTCTCTTGTATTTTCTTTTCTTTTTGTTTGTTGGTTGTGGGGCTCGAACTCTGGGTCTGGGCTCTGTCCCTGCGCTCTTCCGCTCAAGGCCAGTGCTCTACCACTCGAGCCACAGTGCCACTTCCAATTTTCTAGTGGTTAATTGGATGTAAGAGTCTCATGGACTTTTCTGCCTGGGCTGGCTTTGAACTGTGATCCTCAGATCTCAGCCTCCTCAGTAGCTAGGATTACAGGCATGAGCCACCGGCACCCGGCTTATGAAAAGACTTTTTTTTTGTCATGTGTGGGCCCTGAACTGGCGCTGTCTCTCAGCTCTTCAACTCAAGGCTAGCTCTCTACCACCTGAGCTACAGTGCCACTTCTGACTTTTTCTGCTTAGGTGGTACTGAGGAACCAAACCGAAGGCCTCATGCATGCAAAGCAAGCACTGTTTCTCTGAGCCACCTTCCCAGCCCTTGTTTCTTAAATTTTCCAAAATGGAGCCAGATTGTTCCATTTGCTATGAAAGCTTCTATGAAAGTCTGTATGCCTAGGGTAGGTCACCCAAAAGCAAAGCCAATACCTGTAAAGAGAGCAATGCTCTTGGTTGCCCACTGTGTACTCGTGGCTCTTCCATGTGATAAAGGAGCATCTGGTGGAGGGCATAGGCCATGGCATACACAGCGTTATAGATGTTGTAACTCTCGTCTGACATGGTCATGTCAAAAATATACCTCAGTAACCAATGCAGTGTGGCATTATATGAACAGTGCCCCAAGTCTCTGCAGTCAGACTTAATCAGGATGCAGTAAACAGATTGAATCCATGACCTGGGAAGGGAATTATCTCCTGAGTTCTTGGAGAAGGTCTCTGTCAGAATAAAATTGGTGAACCCAGCAGTGTTTCTGTGATGATGAGAGAAGGTGAGTGATGCATGGAAGGAGTGAATCAGAAAATACCTTTTACCAATGGTGACATCATCATAGGGTGAGTTCATGACCCAGACTTTCCCTATAATTAAAATATGCCCAAATTTAACAATAAAGCTTAGAAGAAATTTACTGTCCCCATAAATGATAATCACATTGGTTGATGAGTCCATTAGCTGGCGATACATGGAAAGATCATCTGAGTAATCTGCCAAGGCATTGTAAGTGATCATGTTCTCAAAGGCAAAACAGACTCCTATCTTGCCCATCTCTTTTCTCAAATCTGAGAGGAACCACACACCATAGTTGTCTTCGGTGATGAACAGGCCCACCCAGGTCCAGCTAAAATGAAGCATCAAGGAGACCATGGCCAGGGCTAGACCCGTGTCCTTGGCAGCCATCTGATAGGCAGTACCAAACTTTCCATGGTCACTCAGGAGAGGATCAAAAGTCCCAAAGATGAACTACAGGGAAACAATGAACACAACACCAGGAAGAGGATAGTCATAGGCAAGTCTCAGTCCTGATGTGAACTACACAACAACTGGTAGAGGTGGAAGCAAAAGTTCACTTATCCCATTTGCAAAGTCATCTCCCATGTTCCAAGCACTTTGTAGACATGTACGGATAAGGCTCAGAGCTTTGGGTCATCCTTTCCTCTCTTAAAATCTGTCCTTTTATTTGCAGCAATGAATATGTGTATGTCCCACCCACTTTTGGAGTCTTTCCCTGTGAGATCATGCATTTGGAAGGGTTTATGCTAACACCTCTTCTTCAGCCTGTTGAGGACAGAGGCCATGTGGACATGGCTTCACATCTGCCCACCCCTCCCAGCCTCACCTGTGGAAGTTTGTAGACATCCAGCAGAGTCCCGATTGGGACAGATGTGCTTGAGGTTCCTGTGAGTGCCGCTATAGCCTTGCTGTCTCTTCTGCAGGTGTAATTAGGGGTGTTTTTATTCTTCCCAGATAGCCAGGTGAGTGGATCCTCTAACAGATCAGTACCTGAGTAGTGTGCACTATAGATCTCAAATCCCAGAGTCATGTTGGGTAGCAGATGGGGATTCTTGTTGATCTCCTCCACAGCCAGCAGCAGGGTGAGAAGCAATTGGTATTTCTTTAAAATGATCCTGCACAGAGGACACAACATGTGGGTAGGTATAGAAGTAGTACAAATGATTAACTGCAAATCTCTTGGCTTTGTTGAATCAAATGCTTAACTCTACACACACTAGTAAGTGTAGATCCTATCTTCCAACAGGAGGGCATTATAATTTGGAGTGCTGGACAAGTTCTTAGAATTGGGAGTGCTCCTGAACAAGCCTTGATCAGCATACACAAGATGACTATTCTTCTGAAATTTCAGAGAGAGGAGGAGGGATGAGCAAGGTGGCTTTTCCTCTCTGTCACCTATGGATATGTGAAAACACTGCGTTCTGTTGGAACATAGGTGCATGCCCAGGTCACATACTAATCCATTGAGTACCTTGAAATAGCTGTGCATATGAAAAAATTCCTAAGAAATACAATTCAAATTGGGAGCAGATTGTCCACCTGAGTTCAACCAATATCAGCAGAGAGGCAGGGCCTGCTGTGTTAGGAGTAAATAGGAAAACAGGCTGCCTTGTCTCTGTACTTGCTTGCCACATTTTTGCCAATGAGGCACCCTTCTGCAAAGAAGTTAATCTTGCCTTGTGAAGTAAGTAAAGAAAACAAAGAAGGGCTGGGAAGGTGGCTCAGTGGTAGAGTGCTTGCCTTCTATGTATAAGGTTCTGGGTTATATTCCCCTGCACCACCTAAGCAGAAACATCCAGAAGTGGTTGTGTGGCACAAGTGGTAGGGCACAAGCCTTGAGTTGAAGAAGTGAGGGACAGCACCCAGGCCCAGAATTCTGCCCCCATGACGGTAAAAAAAAAAAGAAAAAGAAAACAGAGAAATACAATTCATTTGATGTGGTAGAGGAACACTAAGCTGACTCAGAGTATGTCATTATTCAAGGGGATTCCTAGAAGCAGAGCAAGATGGCAGCCAAGGAAGCTAGAACATGAAGATTGCCTCACCCAACAAAGAACAGATGAGAGTCAGGGGGTGTGGACTGGGAGATACTTCTCTAGTAGAACAAACAACAGAAATGGATGTATGAGAAAAGGTGGAAGAAGCCATCTCCATGTTCCTCCCCATTACCAGCACTAGTAGCTCATTATGGACAGAAACCCTCTGACATTGCAGGGAGAGAGAGAATTAAAGTTAAATCTCAGCATCATCTCCTACACTGAGACCAGTGCTGGGGAAGTGCTTATAATCTCTGCTCTTGGGTCCAGACCTTTAGATTGTGCCACTAGAACTGCTTTAGGACAGAGAAGAAAGACACTGCTACAACCTTCCTCCTCCAATCTTGTGAATGACAGCAGGTATGGGATACAACCTCCTAGTGAAGAGGGCATTAGAGTGGGTTTGGTGCTGGCATCTCAGCTTCCATTAGAATCTTTCAGGAGGTGTTGGAAGGTCCCTGAGGCAGAACCAATTGCCATTTGCATCAGTTGCCACCATGGGTTGAGTAGGCTCACATCTGTCTTCCTGCTTAACCTAGTGAAGGCACTGTGGCTATGTGACTCTGTTGTCATCTGGTCAGTCCCAGTCTTGTTGCTCAGTGAATCATCTCAGGGACCACTGCCCTAGAAGGACAGTGCTCAAGATGGCACCAGGCAGAAACTGAAGTCTCTCTAGGAATCCAGTGTGCGTTGGTCTACAGCAGCATAAGCTAGAGTGTGGCTTAAGTGTTTCCACATGTCAGTTTGGGCTTTCTGGATGCGAGATAGACTGAGCAGATGGTGGTGTTCATCAAGATGGTCCTGTGGCATTGAAAACCCAGAAATGAACCTACAGACCTATAGCCATCTAATCTTCGATAAGGGAGCAAAAACAATAGAATGGAAGAAAGACAACCTCTTCAGTAAATGGTGCTGGCAAAATTTGTTAACTACATGTAGAAAACTTAAGCTAGATCCTTATATATCACCCTGCACCAGAATCAACTCCAAATGTATCAAAGACCTTGAACTGAAAACATTACAGGATGGAATAGGAGAAACCCTAGGTCTCCTTGGCTCAGGCCGAAATTTTTTGAATAGAGACCCGGAAACACAACAAATCAAAGAAAGGTTGGACAAATGGGATTGCATAAAGTCGCAGAGCTTCTGCAGGGCAAATGACATAGCTAGCAAGATCAATAGAAAGCCCAGGGATTGGGAGAAGATCTTTACTAGCCATACAACGGACAAGGGTCTCATATCTAAAATATACTTGGAACTCAAAAAATTAAACCCACCAACAACAAATCTTCAAAGAAACAACTGCCCAATAAATAAGTGGGCGAAAGACTTAAAGAGAAACTTCTCTGAAGAAGAAAGAAGGATGACCAATAGACACATGAAGAAATGCTCAACATCCCTAGCCATAAAAGAAATGCAAATCAAAACAACATTGAGATATCACCTCACCCCAGTTAGAACGGCAAAAATCAAGAACTCTAAAAACAACAGATGCTGGAGGGGATGTGGACAGAAAGGAACCTTACTTCATTGTTGGTGGGAATGTAAACTTGTTCAACCACTTTGGAAAGCAGTTCCTCAAAAGACTTTACATAAAACTCCCCTATGACCAAGCAATCCCACTTTTGGGCATTTACCCAAATGTTTACAAACAAGACCACAGTAAAGCTTCGAGCACAACTATGTTTATTGCAGCATTATTTACCATAGCTAAGATATGGAAACAACCCAGATGCCCCTCAGTAGATGAATGGATCAAGAAAATGTGGTATATATACACAATGGAATTCTATGCCTCCATCAGAAAGAATGACATTGTCCCATTTGTTAGGAAATGGAAAAACTTGGAAAAAATTATATTAAGTGAAGTAAGCCAGGCCCAAAGAAACATAGGTCCCATGGTTTCCCTTATTTGTAATATCTAGTATATGTATGAGTCAAGCGGAAAAGTTCAGATAATGTGATGTCAGGAAAATGAACCGTTAGATGTGTATTTTAATGTTTTTTTCTTTCATGCATGTGTTTCTAAAGCATTTATAAGATTATCTCTTTGTTGCTTTGTATGTCCCTCCCCCACAGTATAACCCCTGCTTTCACTATATTTGATGTCAGTAGAACTTGTGGAGGAGAGGGGAAAAACCAGTTGTTTAAGGATACAGGTGGACCTGTTGCAACAATGAGAAGTACAAGTTGTCATGTCCAAAACGAGCTTTACAACGTCGGTGCGGGGGAGGGGGGGAAGGTGGGAAGGAGAAGGATTGGGATTGGGGGGAGAGGGGAGGCTGGGAAGGGATGTGAAGGGTAAACAAAGGAGGAGGCTGCAATGCTTGGCAAGAAATGTACGCATTATCCTGCCCATGTAATTGTAACTCCTCTGTACAGCATGTTCACAAATAAAATAAAATAAAAAAAAGATGGTCCTGTGGCTTGCTTTTATCTTTTGCCAGTTGTGGGGCTTGAACTCTAGGCCTGGGATCTGACCCTAAAGTCTTCAGCTAAAGATTAGCTTTCTAGCAGTTGAGGCACAGCGCCACTTCTGGCTTTCTGATGTTTTATTGGAGATAAAATTCGCACAGACTTTTCTGCCTGGGTTGGCTTTGAATCCCAGTCCTCAGACCTCAACCTCCTAAGTAGCTAGGATTATAGGCGTCAGACACCCATGCACAGCTTGTGGCTTCCTTTACGAACCTTATCAAGCTGCTGTGATGCAGCATAGATCTCCATCCTACTTGGCATGGATAAGACATGGAAGTAAGATGGTGATATTGTCCCATAGCTTACTGTGGGCCAAGTGATAGGAGTAGAACTGTGCCATGACTCCATAGCCAGGGCAGCCTCTGGCAGAGCTCTGTAATCACCTCAGTACCTGGGGAATTCATCTACCACCAGACAATCTGTATTCTATTCTTGCTATGACTAATTGTGTATGGTTGTGGCCATCTTGGCACATGAAAGCACCTCTACCACATTCAACCTGAGTCGATCTTAATGCTCACCTAGCACTGTATTGGTCTTGAGTGCAGTGGACTGAGGATGCTGTACTCAGGCAGGATAGACTAAGGAAAATGATTAATAAGGTTAATGCATGCCAGGAACTCAAAAACTCAAGCTTAAAGCTTGTCCATCTACTTCCCTTAAGGTTAAGGGAATGAAGTCATTTAGGGGAAAATGGAGTAGAATAGATTAGTAAAAAATGAGGTTTGGGAGGCTCACAGCAAATAGAGAGCTATTGATCCATCTACATATCTTAAGATTAAGGGACCAAAGTCATTGAGCACAAAAAGAAGCTGGATAAATTAAGGAAAAAAATGAGTCATAGAGAAGGCAACTCAGAAACATGTGATTTAGAAACACAGGGCTAGTATCTTTACTTCAAAGGGAGATGACAGGTTGAATTGCTTCCTGAAAGATGCATTTCTCATCATATGAATTAACAGTTGTCTTGTACTGTGTATGCCTTCCCCCCAAAATGCTTTCCCCAAACTTAAGCAATGTCCTACCCCAAATATAGACAACAGCACACCTTCCTTACCTCAAGGATAATCATCTGGAAAGAATGGCCAAAACATACAGAAAATCAGAAAATGTAACACCAGGAGTGATTAGTGTAAAGATGACAAACCTATGTTTGTGTAACTTTGAAGTCAGACTTTCTGCCTTTACTATCTGAATACCCGTGGCAGCCCAAGAGCTGTGTGTCTCTCCTCAGTTAGAGTGTGTCTTTGCCTTTCTGTTTCCTGTTTGTCTACCTGCTTGTTTGTTTGCTTCCTTACTCAGTAAAGCTCTTCCACATTTTCTTAAGGTTGTTATTTGTGTAAATTTTCTTCTTCTGCGATCAAAGTCCAGGATCCCAAGTGAAGAGTCCCAACTTTTAGAAGGAAACTTCATTAACCTTCATCTGTTTTGGTGACCCTGCTGGTTGGTATTCCAGGTGTAATAGAGTTCTGGTGTCCACAGCTGTGACTAAGGCCTGTTCTAGCACACAGATCTTGCCACTGCTAGCCAGAATCCACTCACAAGGCCATTCACTGTGGAAGAGGCATATGGGCCCCTGTGCACCAGGAAGAGGCATATTTGGATCTACGACTCATTAGAGTTCTCTTGAAGTTTTTAGAGCCACAGAGTATTTGTCACCAAAATTGCCTTTGGTTTTCTCTGGTACTGGAGTGGTTTATCACCTCACAGGGGACTTCCCTCAAGGCCTGCGCTCCCTCTAGTGGTGCCATTGTGGAAGTCACCACAGACTCAGGAACACTGCAGCCTGCCTGGAATTTCTGGAAAGACAGGCACAAAGCCAGACCACTGGTGTAAATCCGAGACAGTTCAAAGGCCATATAGTATCACATGCCAATATGAATGAAGAATGTTCCAGGACAGTGAGTTCTCCTAGCATTCATTGTAATCGTTTTGGGGAAATTCTCATAGAATCTCAACTCTCATGGATGTTTACTGATGTCCTTGTGTACAATTTAACTCTCAGGCTTTACAGCTAGAATGTCAGTAATACTAAATATGAATTGGGAACTGGTGGCTAGGGCCTGTAATTATAACTACTAAGGAGGCTGATATAGGAGAATTATATTTTGTAGTCACTTTGGGCAGGAATGTCTGTGACAGTCTTATGTGCAAGCAACTCAACAGAAACTGGTGCACAGCTGTGGGTCAAGTGGTAGAGTGCCAGCCATGACAGAAAAAATGCTAAGAGACAGCCATCAGGACTTGAGATGATGCCTGAGTACCAGAGTGTGTGTGAACATGCACACACACACACACACACACACACATACACACACACAGCTCAATTAGAGAATGCACAGAGAAGAGGATAGCTCTGACATCTCCCACCTCCCATGGGGTACGTTTCTAATGCTGGGTTTACACATGAGCCCCACCTTTTCACTCACATCCTCACCAGGTTCAGTTGGCTTCAATATCCTTCACATACCTCTCATTCAATAAAGTATACCTCTCCTAAACCAACCCCAAACAGGGTGTTTCCACACAACTTGTCTGAGAATATTCATCCATGACTTCCCTAGTTTACAGAGAATTCTATAGATCTGAAAGTAGTGAGCTCACCTGGGTCAAATGCATGAATGAAAGTGTGTATAAAACATATGAAAAAGCCAGGCACCTTTGCTCACGCCTGTCATTCTAGTTACTCAGGAGGGTGATATCTGAGGATCAGGGTTCAGAGCCAGCCAAGGCAAAAGAGTTCATGAGACTCTTATCTCTAATAAACCACTAAAAAATTGGAAGTGGCACTGTGGCACAAGCAGTAGAGCCTTGCCTTAAGCTGAATAGCACAGGGGCAGCATCGAAGCCCAGAGTTGAAGCCACATTACTGACAATATATATGAAAAAAAACATTCAAATCTAGTTTAGGAAGTTATGATTAGGGAAAAATAAAGAAGCCTGGAAGATGTTGGAGAACAACGAATGGAAGCAGATCTTCTGGGAATGACATGGGACACAGGCCAAGACATGCACATCAGGGCAGACATTTACTTACATTAATTAAGGGGAAAAATCAAACATATATTCAATCTCTTATTACTGATCTGACCAGCAGCTCCCCATTCCCAGGGCTTTGCTGACATGAAATAACCCCAGAAGCAGACACTGCATGTCTATCTTAACAAAGGTTGTTATGAAGGAGGTCCAAACATTGGTCCTGTTTTGAAAAGTTTAATGTACAGAATTGATTGAAGATTCCCTGGCCTTTGCACTATGGATGGTGACATTGCTCTTAAGTGTCTTTGTATGGACTCTTGGTCACCCCAGTGACCTTGAGTAACAGTGATGAGTGGAGGAGTCACAGTGATGGTGGGGTGGTCGGGATATCTCTGGAAAGGGCAGTGGAGTGGAAGAAAGGCAGAAAACTCTGTACCCTTGGAAGAAAGAAAAATATTCATTGGGAACACCTGAAATGAAGTAGAGCTGTTGTAGTGAGGGCAGTGTAGAAGATGCAGAGCACATCAGTGATTGTGTCCAAACTTCCCCCACCTCTGACTATAACCCAAAGAGAAAATTCAAAATTTAAGGAAAGCCAAGAAATCACTTACTGAATGTTCTGTTGCTGCAGGGTAGGGTCATTCAAGCTTTGAACAAAGAATTCCCAAGAATAGAGGGGGTAAAATCCAGCAATGACCACATCTCCCCTGCTGCGTACCACAGATTTCCCTGTGCAAATCCCTCTGCCGTCTTCAGAGGAACTGACCAGGTGTGGATGCTGGAGGAGAAGCAGTATCAGAGCCACAGGGAACATTGCTGCTGCTTTGACCTGGCGCTGCGATTCTGGATGCAGACTCTGATTTCTGTGTCAGGAAGGTGTCTAAATGGATCTTCAGTTTTTGTGGCTTCTTGTTACCTGGGAGGCCTCCACTGTCCTAGAGGAATACAGGGCTCATTCTGCCCTCTGGCTCTGCATCTGGGGTCCAGCTTCAAGGTCAAAACAAAAGTTAGAAAACGTGTACAATCTTCCTGTCCACTGCCTCAGGACTCTGATTTCATCCAAGACTGTAGATAATGAAACTCCAGGGATGGTTTCCTTTCTTGTTGAGTTGTTCACAAATTTGTGTGAAAGCAAAAAGTTGAACAGAAAAAATCACACACAATCAAGGGTCACTAGGGATGATGGGAATGGATGACACCAGAAGATGCCATGTGAAGGTCAAATGGTCATAGAGAGCCAGGGCCAGAACATGCCCAGTCAGAGTTATCGGAGCACCGTCAAACATAAGGATGGGCAGGCTCACAATCCAGGGCCAAGTGAGCCACAGAAGTTTGCTGAAATGAACCATTCAGGTTTCCATACCATCTGCACATGTATAAGTATCCAGAAGTGGTCAATGCATTTATTTACTGCTGCTGGTGTTACCAACAGTCTCCGTGAATTCAACTATTACAGAGCAATACTTCAAGGTCAATGCAGATATCTAATTGGATATTTGCACTCTGAACCTTGAACTTCTTCAGTGCTTGCATGTCCTTGCCCATCAGACTGTACCTATCAATATATTGTGGAGGTCCACTGTTAGACAGAAATGTTCTATGATCTGTGACTTTCTGGGAACATAGCAGGATCTTGGTAGCTGTGGGTGTATGGATGGGTCTTACTCTGCTGTGTCCCCCTCATGTCCAGAGTGCTCTGGGAATTCTTGTTACCACTTGTACAACTGTGTGGTGCCAGCTCTGTCCATGTCTCCCTATCTGTCTTCTCTATTAGTTCCTCATAATATTGAAACCAAGATCACAACATAGGGTCCTGTCTGCACAGAGTTCACCACGGTGGCTGGTTTGGTGAACTGGCTGCGTATGTTTATGAGGAAGGGCTTGGCAAATGTAAGTTGGAAAAGAAAGGATGCAAATGCTATTTGGTGTTGGTAGCCAGCAAGACCTTGCAAGAGCATCAGTGCTGGGGCCGAGCCTGACTTGGGTTCTGAAGTAAAAATCTTTGTTGCTTCCATACCCAGGATTACCAGTATGAGCCACCTGTGCCTGGCTCAGAAGAGAAACATTTATCCTGTTCTCTTCATCTATTACTCTATTTCTGTTAAATCTGTCCAAGAGAACACACCCTCCCCACTTCCTCTTCACCTGCCTGAAACCAGTAATCATCTGTCAGTCATCTGACTGTGATTGAGTAAAGGACTCCACACTCTGTGGTGACTTCTTCATCCACGGAGGTCACTTCCATCCCTTCCCTTTTCCATCCCCCACTCCACTGCCAAAGTTGCAAAGTTCATTTTTCCACATAACGACTTGTACATCTCACTGTTGCAATGCATCCACCTGTAACTCTATTTAAGCAAATTGGTTTTTCCTTTACCCTCCACAAATTATACCAACATCAAATACAGTGAAAGCAGGGCTATACCATGGGGGAGGTATACACAAAGTAACAAAGAAATCATCTTATAAGTATGTTGGGAACAATTGCAAGAAAAAAAAAAACATTGAATCCTTATCTTGGGGTTAATTTCACCTAACATCAACTTGTCTGACAGTTTCTGTTTGTCTCAGACATGTACTAGTTATTGCAAAGAAGGGAAACCATGGGACCTATGTCTCTTTGGGCCTGCCTTACTTCACTTAATATAATTTTTCCAAGTCTTTCCATTTCCTAACAAAGGGGGCAATGCCATTCTTTCTGTTGGAGGAATAGAATTCCATTGTGTATGTATACCACATTTTCTTGATCCATTCATCTAGTGAGGGGCATCTGGGTTGGTTCCATATCTTAGCTATGGTAAATAATGCTGCAATAATCATAGTTGTGTTGGTATCTTTAATATGGTCTTGTTCGTGATCATTTGGGTAAATGCCCAAAAGTGAGATTGCTGAGTCATAGAGGAGCTCTATATGGAGTCTTATGAGGAACCTCCATACTACTTTCCAAAGTGGTTGAACAAGTTTACACTCCCACCAACAATGCAGTAAACTGCTCTTCTGTCCACATCCCCTCCAGCATCTGTTGCTATTAGAAATCTTGATGATAGCCATTCCAACTGGGGTGAGGTGGTATCTCAATGTTGTTTTGATTTGCATTTCTTTTATGGCTAGGGAGGTTGAGCATGTTTTCATGTGTCTATTGGCCATCCTTCTTTCCTCTTCAAGAAGTTTCTCTTTAAGTTCTTAGCCCACTTATTTATTGGGCAGTTATTTCTTTGAGGATTTGTTGTTGGGGGGATTTAATTTTTTGAGTTCCAGGTATATTTTAGATATGAGACTCTTGTCCGTTGTGTGGCTAGTTATGATCTTCTCCCAATCCTTGGGCTTTCTATTGATCTTTCTAGCTATGTCCTTTGCCATGCAGAAGCTCTGCAATTTCATGCAATCCCATTTGTCCAACCTTTCTTTGATTTGTTGTGTTTCTGGGTCTCTATTAAGAAATTTTGGCCTGTGCCAAGGAGACCTAAGGTTTCTCCTATTCCATCCTAATGTTTTCAGAGTGTCTGCTTTGGCTCCGAAGTCTTTGATCCATTTGGAGTTGATTCTGGTGAGTTTTCTACAAGTAGTTAACCAATTTTGCCAGCACCATTTACTGAATAGACTGTCTTTCTTCCCTTCTATTTTTAGCTCCCTTATTGAAGATTAGATGGCTATGTGTCTGTAGGTTCATTTCTGGGTTTTCAGTTCTATTCCATTGGTCCTGAGGTCTGTTCTTGTGCCAGTACCAAGTTGTTTTGATATCATTACTTTGCAGTAGAGTTTGAAATTTGGTATTGATATTCCTCCAGCACTGTTCTTTCTGTTGAGGATCGTTTTTGCTATTCGGGGTCTTTATTGTTCCATATGAATGTTTGGATTGCCTCTTCTATTTCCTTGAAGAATGAGGTTGGAATATTGATAGGTATCGCATTGAATTTGTAGATAGCCTTAGGAAGTATTGCCATTTCACTATGTTGATCCTTCCAATCCAGGAGCATGAGAGGTTTTTCCACTTTCTAAGTTCTGTTTTGATTTTCTTTTTCAGGTTTTTCAACTTTTTCATCATAACGTTCCTTCACTTCTTTGGTTGAGTTAATTCCTTTTTCTTTTCTTTTTTGTGTGGCTATTTAACTAATGGAGTTGCTTTCCCGATTCCAGCTACACTTTGGAATACAGAGAAGCCATTGCTTTTTTGAGGGCTAATTTTATACTCTTCTACTTTGCCAAAGTTTTGAATCAGCTGGAGTAATTTGGGAGTGGAGTCCGGCGGTTCTTTAAATACAAAATCATGTCATCTGCAAAGAGGGAGAGTTTTACTTCATCTTTCCCTATTTGGATTCCTTTTATGTTTGCATCTTGTCTTATTGCTGTAGCTAGGCATTCTAATACTAAATTGAAGAGAAGTGGAGAGAGTAGCCATCCTTATCTCATTCCTGAGCTAAGAGGAAATGGCTTTAGTTTTCCACCATTAAGTATAATGCTGGCTGTAGGTTTGTCATATACAGACTTCATAGTATTGTGGCCACTGTCCTAGAGGAATACAGAGCCCGTTCTGCCCTCTGGCTCTGCATCTGGGGCCCAGATTCAAGGTCAAAACAGATGTTAGAAAACATGTGTACGATCTTCCTCTCCACACCGTCAGGACCATGATTTCATCCAAGATTGTAGATAATGAAACTCCAGGGATGAATTCCTCTCTTGTTGAGTTGTTCACAAACTTGTCTGAAAGCAAAAAGTTGAAAACAAAAAAAGCACAACCAATCAAGGATCACTAGGGATGATGGGAATGGATGACACCAGAGGATGGCATGTGAAGGTCAAATGATCATAGAGTGCCATGGCCAGCAAAGGCCCAGTCAGAGTTATTGGAGCACCGTCAAAGATGAGGATGGGCAGGCTCACAACCTGGGGAAAAGGAATGACCCGTTCAGGTTTTATACCAACTGCACATGCACAAGAATCCAGAAGAGCTCAATGTATTTATTTACTGCTGCAGGTGTTACCAACAGTGTCCTGGAATTCTACCATTACAAATCAATACTTCAAGGTCAATGCACTTATCCAATTAGACATTTGCATTCTGAATCTTGAACTTCTTCAGTGCTTGCATGTTGTTGACCATCAGACTGCACCTATCAATATATTAGCAGTCCATTGTTAGACAGAGATGTTCTATGATCTATGACTTTCTGGAAACATAGCAGGCCACTGAGAATCCTGGTAGCTGTGGGTGTATGGATGGGTCTTGCTCTGCTGTGTCCCCATCATGTCCTGAGTCCTCCGGGAATTCTTGTTCCCACTTGGACAGCCACGTGGTGCCAGCTCTGTCCGTGTCTCCCTACCTGTCTTCTCTATTAGTTCCTCATAATAGAAGTGAAACCAAGGTCACAGCATAGTGTCCTGCTCTGCACAGACTTCACCATGGTGGCTGGTTCTGTGAACTGGCTGCATATATTTATGAGGAAGGTCTTGGCAAATGTAAATTGGAAAAGTAAGGATGCAAATGCTATTTGGTATTGGTAGTCAGCAAGAAATTGCAAGAGCATCACTGCTGGGGCCTAGCCTGACTTGGGTTTTGAGGTAGAAATCTTTGTTGCTTCTATACCCAGGATTATCAGTTTGAGCCACCTGTGGCTGGCTCAGAGGACAAACTTTTATCCCATTCTCCTCATCTATCACTCTAACTATTTCTGTTCAGTCTACCCAAGAGAACAGGCCCTCCCCACTTCCTCTTCACTTGCCTGAAACCAGTAGTCACCTGTCAATCACCTGACTGGGAGTCAGCAAAGGACCCCACAATCTGAGGTCACTTCCTCATCCATGGAGGTCACTTCCTGGACCATCCTGGTCACACCTCCCTAGCACAGTGAGAAGTTCCCCAGACTCTGGTTACTTCCATACCCGCTGTTGTCCCCTTCTCTCTCTTTTTATTTTCTTCTTTTTCCTTTTCCTTTGTCTTCTCCATGGGTCTCCATCTCCTGATGGTGGCCAGTTTGCCTTTTCTGCATGAACCGTGTATCAGGTTTCCTTGCTGGAGAAGCTAACAATTTCTACTTCATTATCATTGATAGCTACTCTAGTACTCTATGCCTTCTTCTCCCTACATTTCAAAAATAAGAGAAAACTTGGGATCTGTGTTGACTCTATCAATCTGTGTGCTTTCTTTCTGAATGTCTGTTTGTTTTTCTGTGTGTATTGTAAATGTGTTGTACAGAGGAGTTACCATTATGTAAATCAGGTACTGAGTACATTTCTGTTTTTACAATGTTACCCAGTTTTTCCTTCCCTGCCCCACCCACAGGTTGTATGCTTCATTTTTCACATGGGGTCCAGTATATACCACTGCTGCATTTGCCAGGGTGATTAACTGAACACGATGATCTCCACTTCCTACCATATTCCTGACTCAAACATATAATTGGATGCTCAAGACTCCTTGTGTCTGTGTGACTCAATTTACTTTTTCCATTCATGTGTTGATTGGAACAGGGCCTGGTTCTGCAACTCAGCTTGTAAGTAGTGTCATGAGAAACACTCACCATATGTAAACATGGACATAACAAACACCCATACTAGTGTGTGTGTAATATTATATCTTTTGTCATATTATGTTACCAATGGTGTTATAATATTCCTATTGGCCATATCCCCATTAGTGTCTGTTATTATTAATATTCTTGATAATTAATCAACTTATTTATTGCCAATTATTTTTATAATAAGCTCTATTTTATGAAACTCAAGATGTACTCATCTGCTACTTACTTGAACATTTTGTGGGTATAAAAATTGAAGACAGGAAGTGGTGCTGTGACTGACGTGGTAGAGTGCTAGCCTTGAGCTGAAGAGCTGAGGGACAGTACTCAGGCCCAGAGTTCAAGCCCCACAACCCACCAAAAAAATTGAAGACCATTTTTGCTTCTGAAATAATTTTTTATCCAAATGAAACCAATTTGTTTCATCAATTCCCTTTCTCAAGACTTTCATTTACTAACTTCCCTTGGTCATGGGACTTGAACTCTGGGTCTAGGTGCTGTTCCTCAGTTTTCAGCTCAAGGAGAATACTCTACCGCTTCAGCCAAAGCACCGCTTTTGGTTTTCTAGTGGTTAATTGGAGATAAGAGTCCTACGGAGTTTCCTGTCTATGCTGGCTTTGAACCCTGATCCTCAGATCTCAACCTCCTGAGTAGCTAGGATTATAGGTGTGAATCACTGGCACCTGGATTCCTTACTGAGTTTTTAACAATTACATGTTTAATTAACTCTTTGACAACATTTGATCTCAAAATGACATTTTTAAAGATGTAAAGTAGTAATCCTTACACAAACTGGTTGTAAATTGATATTCCTCATTTGGTTTTAAAGCAGAGAGAATAGGAGAATTACATGTAGACTGACATTGCATGAAGGGTCCAAACTTAACAAACTTGAGGTATCTCAGACCATATCTTGGTGTTTTCAAAATGCAGCTGATTGCATCATTTTACATATCACTCTTGAAACTTACTTCAGGTAATATTTGAAGGAAAGCAACTTTTAGTTAAAAACACTCATATATTAGCCTTTTGGTATATAAAAATTGAGCAATAATAATAATAATAATAAAAGAATTGAGCAATACCTGAGAGCTGGAGGCTCAAACCCATAATCCTAGCTACTCAGGAGGCTGAGATTTGAGGATCCTGGTTCAAAGCCAGCCTGGGCAAAAAACTTCATGAGACTCTTATCTCCAATAAACCACTCAGAAAACTAAGAGTGGTGCTATGGCTCAAGTAGTAGATTGCTTGCCTTGAGCTGAAAAATTGAGGGTCAGGGCCTAGGCTCACAGTTGAAGCCCAATGACAGACAAAAAAAAAGAATTGAGTAACATAAATTAGGTTATACATATAAGTAAATATCTAACCAAAGCCAGGAAAATTTAAACGTAATTTCTATTTTTTTCTTTGTCACTTAAAGGAAAACACAATGGGAAAATATGTATGTAGAGCAAACTGCACGTTATCTATCTGACCCATATCTATAAGAAAGTAGAAAATCTGAACACACACTGCACGATTGTTTTATCAAAGGAATGGGGGGGGGAGGCAAATATAAATTTGGATCAGTTAATATTGGCAAGAAGTGGCAAAATAAGAGAAGAAAAATAAGAAAACCATAAAACTCAAGGCAATATTCTTAGCTTTGAATGGTCTCAAAGCCAGTTAGAAAATTTCTACCTTCTATCCCTTTGGCTGGTGGAAGCTACCAGTACATATGCAGATCCTCCTGGGAACATACGCAGAGACTTCCGGATCACAGTACCCAGTCTGGTTGGTCCATGAGCCGTTCACCACCTGTTAGTGCAGGAGTGCGGGTTCTACCTCTGGGAGCTTCCAGATCCACCCCTACCAGGCCAACCAACCTAGGGTGCAGGCCTCACCGGGTGCATCAAGCGGTCCCCAGACATGACAAGCAGCATGTCTGAGCTGCTTAGCCCCTGCACATGGTTTGGCGCCTCTGGGGAAGATGGGGCTCAGGGTCCTGCTCTGGAAGGGGAAGGATACTCCCAGCATGCCCTGGGGCATGGGACAGTGAGCATCATAGGAAGAAGACCTGGGCCTTGAGCATGAGAGGCTGCATCTGGCTAGGGCCTTGCTCATGTCTGAGGGTTTGTTCAACAACACCAACTCGGGGCAGATCCTGAGCAGCAGGTCCAGGGAGCACGGGTGGGATCCATAGCCTATTCCTGCTATTCTGGGCCCTCTCTGGGTTGAGATGACTCACCTGCAACTTATGGGCATCTCTTTCCTTTTTTTCCTGCTCAGGCAGATTTGGTTTGTATTCTTTTTTAAAAAAATAAGTGTGAGCAATTTTAATGTAACTTGTGACTGTTTAAACACAAACTGTTACAACTGTGTTTGCATTGGGCTCGCTGCTTATGGGCAAAAGACATGAGATCAGAATCATTCTGGTACATTGTCCTCTTTGACAAGGTAAACATTCATTTTATTTTGCTGAGAATCCAGGAACAGTTGCCTTCTACCTTAGACTCTTTCCTTAGAAATGACTTAATACTAACTTACTTTACTATTGGATTATAATGATTGTAAAAGGGCAACTACCTATTAATTATTAGCCCCAAATTGTAAGTTTATACTCAATAAAGGGCAAAAAGTTATTGGATTTGAAGTTTCCTTTTCTCTAGTGGGCAACTGATCAGAGACTTCATAAAGTTTTATGTAGACATTTGACATGGCAGTCTAACACCCATTGACTTTATTTACTTAGGCTGTTTTGGTTCTCCTTTAAGTTTTATTGTAGTAAAATTCAACTGCCCTGTGTTGAATACATAGTTGTCCAACAATAGCAGCCATTACATAAGCACCTACAGATCAGTGAGCACTCTCTTCTTTGAGTCATTGTAAGTGGAATAATTTGTTGGGCTTCCAGACATTTCTATCTTTGTGCAGATACTTTTCTGTTTTCTAGCAATGGCCCAGCAGAATTAGAGACAACACTGTGTGTGTTTCTGTCATGCATGTGTGGGTGACATCACTGCACTGAGCCACAGCTTCAACATTGAATGATGTCAAGATCTCTGCACTCAGAGATATGAGCTTGCTTGTCCTTTGGACTCCTGACTGTTTAAAGTAGTGATGGCCTGACAATATTCCCACTTCAAGCTCCTCAACACTTTTGATGTCTTCAGGGACTCTTCTGAATCATTCTTGTTCTCATAGAATTGTATAGAACACTGAAAGACATGGAGTCTGGCGTATCTAATGTTTTTGTCCTCTCTTTCGGGATCTTTTTCTCTTCTTATAAATGATTCCATTTCTCCATCCCAAACAATATATTAAAAAAAGAGAGAATGGAGATGTATAAATGACCCACCTTGGTAATCCCATGGGCCACTCTATCAGATTTTCAAACAAAATCAGTTGTTGGCCATGTGGCCTAGATGGAGAAAACTGGTCAACTTTCACCCTGTGTCCCAGACCTTCTGGAAAATCCCAAAAGCTCATAATGTCATATTCTGCCTCCAATTTCCTTCCTTCATTCAAAATCACTTGGTCTTCAACAGGATTGATAAATTGGATCTTCTTCAAAAAGGGATGCAGCTAAAAGGGACACATTACAGTATGGTGAAGTGCTTCCCAGAGTTATCACAGAACCCCAGAAAAATGGATGCACACAGATTATCCTTCATTCCCACCACATGATTCACACACAGCACAAGAATCCAATCAACTGTATCAAATGCAGGCCCACAGTGGACTAACTTGTTAAGAAGTTTCTAAAACCTGGTTATCCAAAATGGGATGGAGAAACTTAATTTCAAGGGAATGAAACTCCATCCACATCCAACCAAGTATCATTATTTGGTTAGAATTCATATTAGAATTCATTTCTATATGACAGACTTCTATCACCTCTTTATAATGAATTCTTATCACTTATGTTATAATTTTGATCAGAGAGTCAGTTTAAAAAATGGATAAACAATAAACGCAGTAAAATCATAAAATATTTATGACAACTATGAAAGATTACCTTACGCAAGAATTAGTTCAGTGTGTGTGTGTGTGTTTGTGTGTGTGTGTGTGTGTGTGTTTGTGTGTGTGTGTGTGTGTGTGTGTGTGTGCCTACCCTGTGTCTTAACCAAAGGGCCAATGCACTCAAGGTGTTTTTCTCTTTCTTTCAAAATAAGCATTCCATCCATTGAGCCACAATTCCACCTCTATCTATTTGGTGGTTAATGGTAGTCAGGAGTAAACCACAGGTGTGAACCACTTGTGTCCAGACAATCTTAGGTTTTCAAGAACTAGTCATCCTTGATCTGTTATTTTAAAAAGGTACAAGGAGAATTTGGATATATCATATTGAAAAGGGGATGGTTTTTTCCCACAGAGTGAGGATGAAGACAGACGGCACAGCACTTCCTTGTCTCGGATGCAGCGATCTTCAAGAATTTGTCTTCATAGCTCTACAGTCATTCCATGGTCAGCACTATAGGCCCAGTGTTTCTTGTATTTTCCAAAATGGAGCCAGATGCCCTGTACTATCTGCTATGAAACCTTCAATAGAAAGGCTGCATGCCTAGAGCAGGTCACTCAAAAACAATGCCATTACCTGTGAAGAGAGAAATGCACTTGGTTGCCCACTGTGCAGTCATGGCTCTTCCATGTAACAAAGAAACATCTGGTGGAGGGTGTGGGCCATGGCATACACAGCATTGTAGATGCTGTAACTCTCTTTTGACATGGTCGTGTCAAAAAAATGCCTCTGCAACCAATGCAGTGTGGCATTGTATGAACTGTGTCCTAAGTCTCTGCAGTCAGACTTAATCAGTAGGCAATAAACAGACTGAATCCATGACATGAGAAGGGAATTATCTGCTGAGTTCTTGCACAAGGTCTCTGTCAGAATAAAATTGGTGAACCCAGAGGAGTTTCTATGATGGTGAGAGAAGATGAGAGGAGCATGGAAAGAATTAGATTTGCATATAAAGAAACTCTCAAGAAATACAATTCAGTTTGAGAGCAGACTGTCCACCTGATTTCAACCAATATCAGCAGAGATGCAGGGCCTGCTGTGTTAGGAGTAAATAGGAAAGCAGGCTACCTTGTGTCTGTGCTCGCTTGCCACACTTTTGCCGATGGGACACCCTTCTGCAAAGAAGTGAATCTTGCCTTGTTTGGAAAGTAAAGAAAACAAAGATCTAGGAAGGTGGCTCACTGGTAGAGTGCTTGCCTTGTATGAGGTCCTGAGTTCGACTCTTCAGCACACATAAGCAGAAAAAGATGGAATTGGTGTTGTGGCTCAAGTGGTAGAGTGCTAGCCTTGAGCTGAAGAGCTGAATGACAACTCCCAGGCCCAGAGTTCAGGCCCCACAACTGGCAAAAAAAAAGAAAACAAAGAAATACAATTCATATCATGTAGTAGAGTCAAACTAAGCTGACTCAGAGAATGTCATCATTCAAGAGGATACCCCAGAATCAAAGCAAATGGCAGCTGAAAATGGAGAATATAAAGATTGCATCACACAACAAAGAGCATATGAGAGTCAAGTGGTGTGGACCGGAGAGTACTTCTCTAGTAGAACAAACGAACAGAAAAGGATGTATGAGAAAAGGTGGAAGAAGCCATCTCCATGTTCCTCCCCATCATGAGCATTAGTAGCTCAGTCTGGACAGAAACTCTCTGACATTGCAGGGAGGGAGAGAATTAAAGTTAAATCTCAGCACCATCCTCATACACTGAGACCCGTGCTGGGGAAGTGCTTATAGTCTCTACTCTTGTGTCCAGACATTTAGATTGTGCCTCTGGAACTGGTTTAGGACAGAGAAGGAAGACACTGCTACAGCCTCCCTCCTCCTATCTTGTGAATGAGAGCAGGTACGGGTTACAACCTCCTAGTGAAGAGGGCATAAGAGTGGGTCAGGGTTTTTCTTAGAACCCTGTGTCAGGCATGTCATGGTTGGACCAATAATCCAGAATAAACTAGAGGCACTGTTTGGTTCTGGCACCCCAGCTTCCATTAGAATCTTTCAGGAGGTGTTGGAAGGTCCCTGAGGCAGAACCAAATGCCATTTGCATCAGTTTCCACCATGGGTGGAGTAGGCTGACACCTGTCTTCCTGCTTAGCCTTGGAAAACCACTGTTGCCATGTGACTCTGTTAACACCTGGCTCAGTCCCAGTCTTGTTGGGCAGTGAATCATCTCAGGGACCATTGTCCTAAAAGGACTGTGCTCAAGATGGAATCAGGCTGAAACTTAGGTTGCTGTAGGAATCCAGTGTGCATCGGTCTTACAGCAACACAAGCTATAGTGAGGTCTCAGTGTATCCACATGACTGGGCTTTCTGGATGGGATATTAAGCCTGAGTGCATGGTGGTGTTCACTGAAATGGCCCTGTGGCTTTTTTTGTTGGTTGTGGGGCTTGAACTCTAGGCCTGGGTTTTGACTCTGAATCCTTCAGGTCAAGGCTAGCTCTTTAACACTTCAGCCACAGTTCCACCACCAGTTTTCTTATGTTTTTGTGGAGATAAAAGTCTCAAAGTCTTTTCTGCCTGGGATGGTTTTCAACCCTAATCCTCTGGTCTCAGCCTTCTAATTAGTTAGAATTACAAGTCTCTGCCACCAGTGCAAAGCTTGTGGCTTCCTTGACAAAACTTTCCATGCTGCTGTGACACATCCTGGTTCTCCATCCCACTTGTCATGGGTAAGACAGAAAAGCAAGATGGTGATATTGTCCCACAGCTTAGTGTGGCCCAGGTGATAGCATCACACCTGTGCCATGACCCCATAGCCAGGACAGCCTCTGGCAGAGCTTTGTAATAATCTAAGTACCTGGGAAAGTAATCTACCACCAGACAATCAGAGTTCTACTCTAGGTGTCACTAATTGCATATGGTTGGGGCAATCTTGGACCATGAGCCCACCTCTACCACATACAACTTGGGAGGATCTTAGTGCTCACCCAGGGCTGTCTGGTCTTTTTTTTATTGTGAAAATACTGTACAGAGGGGTTACAATTACATGGGCAAGATAATGAGTACATTTCTTATCAAGCATTGTAGCCTCCTCTGTTGTTTTCCCTTCTCATGCCTTCCTATCCTCCCCCTGCTCCCCCAATTCTTTTTCCCCCAACCAAAGTTGTAAAGTTCGTTTTGAACGTAATGACTTGTACCTCTCATTGTTGCAATTGGTCCACCTGTATCCCTATTTAAATGACTTTTTCCCCCCTCCCTCCACAAATTATATGGACATCGAATACAGTGAGAGCAGGGGTTATACCATGGGGAAGGGGCATACAAAGCAACAAAGAAATAATCTTATAAATGTGTTAGAAACAATAGCATGAAAGAAAAAAAACATTTGAATACATATCTTAGGGTTCATTTCCCTGACATCAACTTATCTGACCTTTTCTACTTGACTCAGACATATACTAGTTATTGCAAACAACGGAAACCACGGGACATATGTTTCTTTGGGCCTGGCTTACTTCAATTAATATAATTTTTTTCAAGTCTTTCCATTTCCTAACAAATGGGCAATGTCATTTTTTCTGGTGGATGCATAGAATTCCATTGTGTATATATACCACATTTTCTTGATCCATTCATTTACTGTGTGGCATCTGGGTTGGTTCTATATCTTAGCTATGGTAAATAATGCTGCAGTAAACATAGTCGTGCTGGTAGCTTTAGTGTGGTCTTGTTTGTGAACATTTGGGTAAATGCCCAAAAGTGGGATTGCTGGGTCATAGGGGACCTCTATGTGGAGTCTTTTGAGGAACCTCCATACTGCTTTCCAAAGTGGTTGAACAAGTTTACTCTCCCACCAACAATGCAGTAAGGTTCCCTTATGTCCACATCCCCTCAAGCATGTCGTTATTAGAGTTCTTGGTTGTAGCTATTCTAACTGGGGAGATAGGAGGGAAGGGATGGTAGGGTCATGGCACAGGTCTGGTGCTATCACCTGGGCCACACTAAGCTGTGGGACAATATCACCATCTTGCTTCCATTTCCTACCCATGACAAGTGGGATGGAGAACTAGGATGTGTCACAGCAGCATGGAAAGTTTTGTCAACATCTCAATGATGTTTTGATATGCATTGGCGATTTGGTCTTGATTGCAATGGATCTAGGATAGACCAGAGGGAAATGAGGCCTGCTTAATGCATGCCAGCAATTCAAAAACTCAATCTTAAAGCTTGTCCATCTACTTCCCTAATAGAAAGGGAATGAAGTCATTTAGGGGAAAATGGAGTAGCATAGATTAGGAGAAAATGAGATATGCTAAGCTACAGCAAATGCAGAATTATTCATTCATCTACATCTTTTAAGATTTTTATTGCTTTTTTATACAGAAATAACCAACTCTGGGCGATAAATAATGATGCTGTGACATTGTCAACAATCATTGTACTCACAGTCTGATTTAGGGAATTGTAAGCTTTTTCTACAGCTACTCAATAATAATAAAAATTTCAAAAGAAGACAGTGAAACAAATGGAAAATCCCACTTTGGTAATTCCTATTATCCACTCTATCACAATTTCAAACAACATCAATCACTGAACATGTGTTATTGATGGAGAAAACTTGCCAA